GGCTGTAGTGGCCCCTGCTTGGGCAGGGGGGTTGGACTAAATGACCCACAGAGGTCCCTTCCAACCCCTACCATTCTGTGATTCTGTATTGCAGGTCTCAGTTGCCGTAGTTGTCCCACCTGATCTTTTCTGTAAGCTCTTATGTTGAAACTAAATCTGTACTTTGGGGTAAGCAGGCTAGAAGCAAGGCTGATTACAGGAGCTAGCTATGATTTTTTATATATATATATGGTTTTGGTTTTGTTTTTTAAATATCTTAGGAAAGATTCTCCCTAGAAACATACTGATTAGGAGAGCAAATTTCATGAAATTTCCATTATATAAAATAAAAAATTCTGTAGAAAAGTCTTCTCAGCCTTTCTGTCACTTCATTCTTGAGGTGTGTGTAAACTCAGGCATACAGCAAAGAATGCTGTACTGGTTGCTTTGGAAAGTAGTTACTCTCCATTTTGCACCAGCGAGAGATTTACATCTCTTACCTCTTGTTGCAGGATATTCAGAAGTGAATTGTTGCACTGAGTAAACCAAACTTTTTTACAGTTCTCAATTGCTGAAGCGACTTTCCTTCTCTCGCAGGAACCTTTGTAATCACGGATCGTACTTCCTCGCAGCAAACTCAAGCTTATGTGGCTTGGCCGCAAATAATTTCTTCAGGAACATCCTGCACATCAGAAGGGCTTTCATGCTCTCTGCTGTGCCAATGGCTGTTGTTCCGTTCCTTTCAACAGCAGCAGTTTACGAAGTTTTTGTGCGTGAGCCTTTATTTTCAGGTAAAAACCTCATTATTCCTTGTTTTCAAAAAGGCTTTGCTTTCTGTGCACAGCGTAACGCTCGAGGAGCTTTTTCTCTTGGCAGAACGGTGGTCTTGAACTGTTGTGGGCTTGCAAAACCTCAGTTTGTAAAGTAGGGTTTGAAAACCAGGTTATCTAATGCATTGGACAGCACCAAGTTCTTGAAGACAAGTGAGAAAGGAGATACGTATGTGTATTTATACGTTTATAAAAAAATTCTGTTACGCATCGCTGATTTTTAGTATTTTTCACTCAAAGCCATGTAAAAGTGACTGCGGCAGAGCAGTTCAGTCTCCCCCATCTGTATGATTTCATTTGAACATCAACTTGAGAGTGATAAATTCTTCATGAATTGGAGTGAGAGGGATTTGTTTTCTTTTGCAAACGGAAGAGTCCTCCTTCTGAAATTTCCGTACCTGTGCAGCTTGGCCATTGCTGTCAAGCGCCTGTTCCCATGTCGTTGCATGCAGCTTTGAAGTTGATGTGGTGGAGCTGTGTGGATATTGACGGTGAAATATTGTGTGTCGTGCAGGTGAGCTAAGCTGTGAGGTCTGCGCTGTGGTCAGAGGAGGACTGATAGGGGCTGTCGTGGGTGGGTTCTACCCCGTTTTCCTGGCTCTCCCCATGAACGCAAGCCTTGCCGCCAGGTACGTCTCATTAACCTGCAATGAGTGAAATGCATTTAGAATCAGATCATAGAATCGTAGAACGGTAGGGGTTGGAAGGGACCTTGAAGATCATCTGGTTCCACCCCCCTGCCATGAGCAGGGACATCTTCCACCAGACCAGGTTGCTCAGAGCTCCATCCAACCTGGCCTTGAGCACTGCCAGGGAGGGGGCATCCACAGATTCTCTGGGCAACCTGGGCCAGCGTTTCACCGCCCTCATGGGGAAGAATTCCTTCCTAATATCTAATCTAAATCTGCCCTCTTTTAGTTTACAGCCATTCCCCCTTGTCCTATCACCACACACCCTTGTGAAAAGTCCCTCTCCATCCTTCCTGTAGGTAGGATGGAGTACCTTCAGGTACTGGCAGCCTGCTCTAAGGTCACCCCGCAGCCTTCTCTTCTCCAGGCTGAACAGCCCCAACTCTCTTAGCCTGTCCTTATAGGAGAGGTACTCCAGCCCTCTGATCATCTTCATGGCCCATTTGTTGGTCAGATCTTCAGTTCTCAGAGTAATTCTGTGGATTTATAGTCTGCACACACCCATCTTCTTGTAGGCTTTTAGTACGTGGGAGGGGATTTGTTTAAGGTCACCTAATGACAAAGCACAGTTAGTAAGAGCTACACCAAGGCTCCAAAGTGAAACAAGGTCTGCAAACTGAGACACTGTAAAGCACTTGGCTTCAGCTGGAACCTTGCAAGCTACCCACGATGGTGTGTGAAATGCCGCGTGGTGAAGGCGGCTGCGTGGTGCCGTTTGGGTGGGCAGCATTACCAATCACAGGCAGGTTAACACTGGGCAGCGGGTCTGAGCACGGTGAGGGGACGGCGAGACGTCAGGAACGTGCTCAGGATGGGTCATAGCATTTATACAGAGAGCCCGGTACCACCAGGGGAATTTAACTTAGGAGAGGAAGAAGAGAATGAATATCCACCTAAATATTTTTAATGACTTCAATGTTAAATATTGATGGTTAAATTGGATGGAAAAAAGAAAGTGAGTTTCTACCACTGTTTATGTTATTCAGGTACTCTTCATCTCCCTTGCCAGGGAAGGAAAACGTGTTACGCTTCTGGCTCACAACTGCTCAGCCGGTCTTTAGAAAGATGAGTTTGGGTGTACTTGTACAGGTTCTAACTGGATTGTATCTTGCCACTAAGCATCACGGAATATATGTCAAAATACTGCAGCACATGAACGCCAGCAGGGATCCTGAAGAGTTACAAGGATGAAGTTAAGCAACTTTTCAATTGCCTTGGATAAGTAACTGTAATAAACAAAGAAAGCAGTTGTTGCTCGCTGTCTTTTTTAATGGAAGAGCAAAGTTAAAGACTCTGCAGTGGCCTTGTTTTCAGTTCTGAACTTAAATATGAGTTCAGTTTTTCATGATGTCCAGCTTAGTGTGCACACTGAATAACAGCTTTATAAGGACAGGTGTTTTCTCTTTGGAAATGGAGGGAGGGAAAAAAAAGCATTTCTATTGCCTGTTTAGTGTTTGGCTCTAAGGGAGGGGGAGGGAGAGGATCAAGGCAAGGTTTTTGTAGATGTTCCTCAAAATCTGAGTATTTTTCTCCCTGGAACTTTCCTCCATTCTGCTAGCACAGAATTTCTGTCACAAGATTCCCCCTTTTCAGCTGTTACAAGGGTTGCTCCATTCGCTGCAGAGAACAGTTACCGCAGAGCAGTCGGGAGCAATACTTGTGTCAGCCTTCCCAGCATACGTATCCAGTGACCAAAAAAAAAACCTCGTCTGAGCACACATGGTCCTTGCAACCAGCTTGCCTCGGAATCAGTCTTTTCGTGAAGCGAGGAGCTGTGGTGAGGCCTCACGTGGCTGGTGCTTTTCCTGTGCTATCATCTCAGCTACCTCTGGCTTTAAGATTAGTGGTCCAGAGTCATTCACTTCTGCATCAGGCTTGTCTTCACACTAACTGTATGTTCTAGAGCAACATAAATGGCTAATTTTCCTGCTGCATGAGGTATCTGTAGTGTATTCTGCAGGTTAAAAACTAAATCAGGAACTTCTATACATTTTTCTGATGTATGGTCTTAATTGTAAAACCCACACGCTTACTGGTCAGCAACTGTCTACACTTCAGTTAAATTCTAGTATCCCCAGAGATGCACATGGAAATATTTATTAATGAGAATTAAGAATTCAGCATTGAGACCTTTAACTGAATTGGTTTAAAATGTATGTTCTAGCACTGCTTAAAAATGTATTAAAGGAGTTTTGTCACGTTTATCTCCTTTTTCCTAACAAATCTGTGGCTGCAGCAGGAAAATCACACTGTTTCTCTATAACCAGAAGGAGCGGCCTGACTTGCACAGGGAAGCAGCAAAGCCAGAGTCCCTCCACAACGGTTGTTATGTAAAATTAGCTTAGTTTTCTTTAATTCAAAGTATTTTATTGTGTGGAGTTCCGACACTGGCCTGCATCTAAACAGACACCTTGACCCTACCGTCACCACCCCCACCCCAGAGATTCTCACGGGGCAAGTATTTTACAAGACAGTGAATTATGGCCTCTCCTGTGGTCATCAGACTTTAACCAACAAAACCACTTGCCTGTGATCATACAAACATAAAATAAAGCTATTACTTGGCAATATTATCTTTAAGAACAAAAAGAATGGCTCATGAATTGTTATTGCGAGCGTTTAACGAGCTATAGTTAAGATACTGTGAACAGGCCCTAGCGCTTTTGAAGTGTGAGATTCACAACCATTTTCCATTCCATGTGCTATTTTCATTTTGGTATCAACTCAAGTGATAATTTCTCCTGGAGCGATCAAAATGCGTGCTCTGATATTTAATGATCTGTCCTGGACAAACCCCATTTTTTTAATTTCTTAGGGTGAAAGGTGAAGATTGTATGTAAACAAGAAATAAAACATATTCTTCTATTTTTTTTTAATAAGTTGCAAAGACCAATTTTTGTTTCCGGCGTAACTGACGAAGACACAGATTGCAAATATGTATTTTAAGCGTCCAGCAGTGGTCATGTCAAAGGTCAGCTATATACTCCTGAGGCCAGAAAGGGGTGTTGATAAAAAAGGAAACTTTTTAATTGTATGCTGCGTACTCCTTAAACAACTGGGGTGGGAAGGGGGAAAGGAATAAAGAGTTCTCAAAAGGAAGCTGAAGACCAAAACTGCTTCAGAATTCAGCAGCACACTGCTG